CGCCCGGTGTACTGTAGCGCCCGATCGACATGCGTCGTCACACCGTGTTTTTTTTTTTTTTTCCGGCATCGATCGGGCCATATACGTAACCAGCTGACTGACCCCTTGAAACTCAAAAAGGAGTGGAAAACTAGAAAAATCACAAACTACAAAAAAAGCACAACACACACACGATTTAGTTGTCGTGAGTATTTTCGTCGTGGTGTTTGGCCACACTATGTAACCGGCTGAGAATGAAGGGCGGCGGTTTACAACACTGGCAATAGTACTAAATAGATAGCAACACCGCTCGGTTGGAGGGGTAGGGGGCTCGTAGGAGGTTGAACGGATGGGGTCCAGGTGTGACCGTATGTGGGTCGGTCAGGGTATACAGAGGCTGTGTACAACATCTCTTGCTTGATTTGTTTGCTGGGTGCATTATTAGTTCGTAGCGTACATTTGGTAGTAAGACGTTGTAGGAACGAGTGTCGCGCGGCAAGTGCGGTAAAGCGATGCAGCTACATAGCTGTCTGACGAGAGTACGTGAAATTTTGCGTGCAATGGACAGAACGGACATCGCCGCTGGGCAAGCGGCGACACCCAATGCGTGCGTGTTTGGCTTGCCAAGGTGCGTTGCGCGCTTGCGATTGTGTCGTTTTTTTTTTTTTAGGCTTGCTCGTCTGGTCTCCCCAGAGATGCACTGTAGATAGACCGATAAACGATGCACGCTGTTCTGCGAGCTGCAACAAGTGCTTCGGTTGCTGATCGTTGTTTATTTTGCTGGGAGTAGGGGTTTTGGCGGGGGAGGGTGCCTTATACGCCGGAATAGAGCTCGATATTTGTCTTTTGCTTTGTTGACTACTGACAGCAGTAATCCGTTCGAGATGACGGCACTGAGTGTTTTTCATTGCTGTGTACTTGGATTGAAGTATTGCGTACAAGCTTGCGTTTGGAATGGATTGAAATTGCTGCGGGGGAGGTGTAGGCTACTCTTGTAAACGCATACCGTAGGCGTTAGACCATTGACCTCGCATCCCTACAATGCCGGGACGGAGCGACATGCTGAGGGGAGGGGGGGGGGGGATGAAGAATTGTGATAAGTAAGGGAGGGGGCTCGCACGCTGTTTCGATCGATCGAATAGGGCGTCAGTGACGAATCGAACGAAATAATAATGGTTTCACATCTATCATTATTTTCCAGTGGACTACAGCTGTGTATATGCTCGATCAAGTCTGTTCAACAAGCAGGGGCAGATTCGCATCAAAGTCGACAACAACAACGGCGGAACATGTCAGTGGCGCGCCGTGCAAATACACACACTCTGCAACAGCAAGCAGTATGTACCTGCGCTATGTTCACCGCCAACAAAATCAATTTGCACCTGGAACAGGCTTGGTGATTTTTGCGATGACGCCTGTGGCCACGGCGGTATACATCCACTACAGAGATCTCCCGTGTAACTTTGTGTGTCGGATTGCAAATACACAGTAGTTGTGCTTAGTTTCCCGCGAGCAAAATATGCACCCGGGCAACAGGCTTGGCTGCTTTTTTGTGCGGACACTTGGCTGCCGCAGAGCATGCACCACAACAACAAGAAGATCCCATGTATCTTCTGTGGATCCGACCTCCTCTTGATGTTGTTGTGGACCCCGGTGGGTGCGGTTGTGTGGTTGCCCTCTACGTGTCTTTCTCCATATTTCGCCTTCTTTTCCCTAGTTGTCAGCGTTTTGAGTATGGGGCGCGGGACCGGGCAAGCGCAGCCGAGTAAGGTCGCAGCGGTTGGTTGGGGGAGTTGGAGGCAAGATCGCGGGGGGCCCGCGAGGCGAACAGAACCATACATACGGAGTTCACCTTTGGTACTCTCTGCGGCCTCCCCCTCGCGCACCACCACCACCTCTCCTGCTCTCGGAGGTGTGGAGGATGCAGGGACGACGGCGCGCGATGCCTTGCTCCCCTTCTAGCTTAAAATTTCTCTGAATGCTGTCGGGCGGAGAGCTCGAGACGTCTGCAAAAAACAGCGCACGTGCACAATCCCCCCAACAAATTTGAAAGAGCGGTGAGTCTCGCTTGAAAATTCAAACTGGATTCAAACGGCCCGTCATTCGTCCCCAACGGCTGTACCACACCACACCACCTCTCAGGCCCTGGTGTACGTAATTGCTTTTTGATAGACACCAGGGTGTTATGCCGTAGTCGGTGTCAGTGCCTGGTTGGTGGCAGTGCAG